AAATGTGCTTTACACAATTGATGTATGTCTGGATTGTGATAAGAATTGTATGAGCCCCTAATAAAACGATTAAAGAGAGAGAGAGAGAGAGGTTGACCTCTGTCAAGGAGAAGGGATGTCACAGGAGACTTGGCCTGACTTGTCCCCACCATCTCCCCCTCCTGCAGAGCACTGCAGCAGCCCCCAGTCCTGTGATGGGGAGCCTGGCCCCCAACGATGCCATGGCCCCTGGCTTCTTCCAGGTATGACTGAGGCCTGGAGTCCCCAGCCAAGCGTGGGTCATGGCAGACAGGAATGGCATGTGAGGAGTCCTGAGGTTGGCCACTTGGGATTAGGGCAGGAGAGCAGGGTCTGGGACAGAGAATCCGACCACTCAGCCTCCTGCATCCTTGGTACCCCTGCCCCTGCCCTAGTAAGGCTGCAAAACACACTGAGGCAACCGGGGTGACCACGCTTCCCCCAACCCTTCTGGTTCTGTTATCCTACGGCTCCCCCAGCTCTCAGCCCCGCTCCCCCAACATTTCTATGCTGGGCCTCAGGGTCAGACAGGATGCTGAGCCCGCCGCCCACACACCACCTTCCCTGCCCACTGTGCCCCAAGCACCAGGTGCTCTGCTCACCTGGAGAAGAGACTGTTAGACTTGGGGGTCCTTTTGAATAGGAACAGGGTAGTGTGGGGGTGGTTAGGGGGAGGCGCTGACCCCCCACCCCCCTCTTCCAGCCCTTCATGTCACCGCGGTTCCCAGGGGGCCCCCGGCCCACCCTGCGGATGCCGAGTCAGGTGAGAGAGGGATGGGGGGTGGGGGACCCAAGGCTGGGGGCACTGGGACACCCTGGGCTCAGTGCTGCCCCTCCCTCTGCAGCCTCCAGTAGGGCTTACAGGCTCCCAGCCCCTCCTCCCTGGTGCAATGGACCCCACCCCTCGGGCACAGGGTGAGTAAGGAGTACTAGCTGGTGTCACCGCCCCCACCCCTCAGCACCCCAACTCCACCACCTCCCCAGTCTGAGTGCCCGGCCCCTGTTCTTTCTCCCAGGACATCCCAGCATGGGTGGGCCAATGCAGCGGGTAACGCCTCCCCGGGGCATGGCAGGAGTTGGGCCTCAGGTAAGGCTAACCTGGGGGCCATGGTGGGAGACAGTTTGAGGTGTGACCCCTCCTAGGTGCCACCACCCCTCCTCATTGACCCTTCATCTTGGCAGAGCTATGGAGGTAGCATCCGGCCCCTGCCCAGCCCCCTCACTGGCCCTGGACTGCCTACCTTGAACATGTAAGACCCGCTGCCTGGACACAGTACACCCGTCCACTCCGGTGGAGGAGTCCTGTGACACTGCAGTGGCACGCCTTGGGTGGGGAAAGAGGCCTAGAGCTGTGGTCAGCCACTTCCATTTGGGTGCATGTGGAGGGTGGGGGTTGATCTCTGGAGGGCGAGGTTCTGTGCCCCTAGCCTGAGCCCATGGTCTGTCTCTTCTAGGGGCCCAGCAGTCCGAGGCCCATGGGCCAGTCCTAGTGGCAACTCGGTGAGTCCCAGGCTAGGTGGGTGGGGGGCTGGGGTTTCCCACCCCTGATGGGCCATCACTCAAGGCTGACTCTCCGTGCAGGTCTGCTACTCCTCAGCCTCTCCCGGCAGCTACACAGTGAGTGTCCCTGGCTCGGGTCGGGGGTGGCTGGTGAGGGAGCTTTCTCACCTCCCCATCTGCCTCCTGTACAGGGACCCCCTGGAGGTGGGCCCCCCGGAACACCCATCTTGGCCAGCCCTGGAGGTATGCCTGGGGAGACAGGGCTTGAGGGAGGAGGCCCCTCCCCATGACCTCACCCCTTGACCCCACCCGCTGTCTTCCCAGACTCCAACTCCAGCGAGAGCATGTACACCATCATGAACCCCATTGGGCCTCCAGGCCGGGCAAACGTGAGTGCGGACCTGCTGCGAGGGGGCGGGGAAGTGGGCTCTGGACTGCAGCCTGAGGTCATGCTGCCCCCCCCCACCCC